TTTTTTTTTTTTTCTGAGTCGAGTTTGTTGAAATGTGATTGGATCGACTGCGTGCCTAGCTTCTTATGTTCTTCAAGCAAGATTATAAGTTCTTATGATTTTATCGATTCGGTTTTAATAGAAATTTTTTAGATTATCGCATTGATTCCTGCAATCCTATTGGTTACCATAGCGAATTGTATGCCTGATGCTTCAAAAAGTTTTGATGAATTGGTGATACGACCTCACCCGTGTTCTTGATCCGCAGATGCGCCTTTTTGCTGCTCAATCACAGTATGCTGATCGGCTTGCTGATGCTGTATGTACTCCTTGTTTTTCTGTAAACCATTTATGAATATTTGGTTAGACATCATATTTGTCTGTCGGGCTTAAAGGTTCCGAACAGATGTGACATTTCGTTGATACCAAATGAGCCCAACCACAACTTTTCTATTGCTTTGTTAGTCATTATTATCTCTGTTCTGTGTAGATTGTAGGTACTGATGTTACTGTTTTTGTAAATGTCAAGTGCAGTGAGTGAGGTTGGTTGTTTTGTGGTAACAAAACCTATAAAAGCCTAAGAAAAATACCATATTTCCAAAAATTTGCAGGGTTTTGACATAATTGTATCATATAGCGACCCTTCTGGTGAAATTCATGTTAGAAGTGTCAAGTCTAAGGACCTGTCTGCTTCATGGGTATGGAAAAGGCCCGGAAATGTGAATCATGATCGAACAAGGACCACCTTGGTGAGTTGCAGCGAACATACTACCATTTTGAGTCTTTTTTCCTCACATTCATAGAAGCCAGTTGGGTTACTCTACTTACACCCATCACCAATTTCTTTCTCAGATAGAACAGGACCCAGTTCAACCTAAGCTAAGCTCTAAGAACAATGATGATTATTCTGGTAGTGATAGTTTGTTTGGAGCTGACATACTACAGACACGGGCAAAAATTGTGCATCCTGTGAAACTTAAGAGACAGGTGAACTGAAATGTGAAATTTTGTTGTGACATGTTATATTTTGTGGATGGTGTGTTTCTCTAATGCAATATCCATTATTGGCTCTTACAGATGCTACGAAGGGAACGAAGGCGAATGCGCTCTGCGGATCTTATGAAACAAGACAAGAAGATTGATAGCCAGATGCAAGAAGCTGCCATTGAAAGAGCAGCAGAGCTTGATACCACTATCAAGGGTAAATATGGCATATGGAGGAAAGAGTACGAGAACCCCAACTCTGATTCGACAGTGAAACTTATGCGTGACCAGATTATTATGGCAAGAGCTTATGCAACAATTGCCAAGGCTAAGAATGAGACGGCACTTTATGATTCTCTAATTAAACATTCTTTAGAAAGTCAACTTGCTATTGGAGAAGCAACAACTGATGCTGAACTTCATCCAAGGTCTTGCTCTATGAATACTTCTGTAGATTTGTTAATCAGATATTAGCTACTACTCACTGCTTTTGTGTTTTGTTGTTTGAATCAGTTCACTTGATGGAGCAAAAGCTATGGGTCACATCCTCGCTACAGCAAAGGACCAGTTATATGACTGCATTTTAATAGCAAGAAAGTTGAGAGTGATGCTTCAGGCAAGTGAGACGAGTGTTAGTTCTTTGAAGAAGAAAAGTTCTTTTTTGATACAGCTAGCCGCCAAAACAGTTCCCAGACCATTGCACTGCATTCCCTTGGTTCTCACCACAGACTACTACCTTCGCAAGTATGAAGAAAGAGAATTTCCTAACAAAGAGAAACTTGAAGACCCTTCTCTATACCATTATGCCATCTTTTCGGACAATGTACTGGCAACATCTGTTGTTGTGAACTCCACGGTGATACATGCAAAAGAGCCAGAAAGGCACGTTTTCCATATAGTCACGGATAAGCTCAACTTTGCTGCTATGAAGATGTGGTTTTTGGTAAATGCACCTTCGGGTGCAGTAATTCAGGTGCAGAACGTGGATGACTTTAAGTGGCTCAATTCATCATACTGTCCTGTTCTGCGCCAACTCGAATCGGCAAGAATGATAGAGTATTATTTCAAGGCACACCAATCGTCATCCCTTACTTCCGGGACTGACAACCTTAAATACAGGAACCCGAAATACTTGTCTATGCTGAATCATCTCAGGTTCTATCTTCCTGAAGTTTATCCGAAGCTGGATAAGATATTGTTCTTGGATGATGACATTGTTGTTCAGAAGGATCTTACGCCTTTGTGGTCTGTTGATCTGAAAGGGATGGTGAATGGTGCTGTCGAGACCTGTAAGGAGAGCTTCCATAGATTTGATAAGTATCTCAACTTTTCTAACCCGAAGATATCTTCCAATTTCGACCCTAATGCTTGTGGCTGGGCGTACGGCATGAATATCTTCGATTTGAGAGAATGGAGAAAACGTGACATTACTGGAATTTACCATCGTTGGCAGAACATGGTAGGTGCACTATTAATCAAAGAAAAAAGAAATAAATGGAAAATGCTTTGACGCTAATATTTTTTAAATTGTTTTGTGACAGAATGAAGACAGGACTCTTTGGAAACTCGGAACACTTCCTCCAGGATTAATAACTTTCTACAAATTAACACACCCACTGGATCGGAGCTGGCATGTTTTGGGATTGGGATATGATCCTGCCCTTAACCAAACCGAAATCGACAATGCTGCAGTTGTTCATTATAACGGAAACTATAAACCATGGTTGGATCTTGCCATTGGGAAGTACAAATCTTATTGGTCTAGATATGTCACTTTCGACAACTTTTATTTACGGCTATGTGACCTCAACGAATAACACGTTGGATTTTCCTTTGTGACACGATGAAGTTTGGTTGACCGTGGACTGCAAGAAAAATCCAACAAGCTCAAGTAAGCATTGTTAACCATTGTTAATTTTCATTTAAACCGCATAATTCACGTAAATAATTAATTAATTATCCACCACTAACACACCGTTTTAAAGTCTGACATTGTTGAGGCCAAGCTGGACGACTGGGATGTCTAGAAGCAGCGGGAGCAGCTTCAGATGGAGTTGGAGAGGAAGTACATGGCCATTTTACGCTGACTCGATGGCTGGACATTCGGGATATACTTTGTTTGGTTTTTCGTGCTTGTATTACATTATTGTACTTTGGGGATTCGTTTGCAGCACGGAAAAACAATTTTGTAAGATGTTAGAGTAGGTATTTTGATCATGACTTTCAAAGTGCCTGGATGTTTGGTTTTTTTTGGTGGATTAAAGTTCTTGTGATGCACTTTTTGT